CAACTTCCATTAGGCTATGGTATATGAAATTTTCTTTAGTAGTGCCAGTATTGTATTATATTTTCTTTCAAGCTCACTCACACTTGCTGTTTCAAGAATTTTAACTGAATCCTGCCATTTATTTATTTTTTTGTTTTTCTCACAGGCTGAGGTCAGTTTGCAACTCGTTTTTCCCAAGACATAGGTAATAAACTGTAATCTGCTTATTTTATGATTTCATCTCCTTCTCCTTACAAGATGTGATGGGTGTTGCTTGTTTAAGGCACTGAGAGGAACACACCCACAACCTTGCTGTACACATCCTATCTTGGCTTATGCCAGTTTTATTAATTTACCTGAACATATAAGCAGGAGCAGGTTGCTGTGGAGAAATATTATATATTATAATATACAGCTAGCCTTGCAACCCTATGGCTACGGAGTAATGGGACAAATCCATTTCCAATGCCAGACCTACTTGAGAAAGAGAGGGAGTAGATGTCCCCTTTTAAATTTGGATTGTTTTAATGTGTGTGTATCTTATTTGTCCTTTTAAACTGATGTGTAAAACACTTGTGTTTTAATTGATGTGGTTTATCTGTTGCAAGCTTTCAAAGCTCCATGGGCTTCCTCATCAGGGAAGATGTTACAAACCAAACAGGAGAAAAACAATTGGAGATGTTAGCCAGATGCCTACATGTTGTTTCATTCTTTAGTTAAGATGGTATATGGGAGTTCATGTATGACTCCAGTTCCATGATAGAAAGATGATGGGATAACAATGTATGGAATAAAATAAAGTGAGGAAACAGGTGCTTGAAGCACCTGCCCACATAGTAAGCAAATTATTAGTCTGTATTGATCTGTGGAAAGTTTGCTCTGATTTCTCACTTTGAAACGTTCCAGGCCTCAACAGGAATGAGAGCATTTTAGGTGTGTCTTCCTCTTCCACCTAGTTTCAGGTGTTAATACAACAGGCAGTTTTTAAAAGTACTGAAGAACACTCATACCACACGCTCCGATGGTTTAAGTTGTTATCTAACGCTGTGATACCTCCAGCCTTTCTTAGTCATTTACATCAGGGTCTGTTCTCTGATTTGTTGTTGTTAACTGACTTTGTGTCGGTGTTTTATAAAGGAAAGCTGCTTTACGCAAGTTGGACTGTCTGACCATCTAGCTCACGACTGTGGATTCTGATAACGTTTTTCAGATGCCTAGGGCTGATCCTGATCTAAAGGACTAGATCCAAGAGGATCCTCAGTTCTCTTGTTATTCAGACATTGTTTATTTTAGCATGATGGTGCGAATAAACTCACTCATGCATTCTGGTTTTGTTGTTCACACTCTGCAACTGCATCTGTTGCTCACACGCGCCAGCACTTGAATAAAGATGGAGTTGATGATGTAGATGTATTTGAAACGTGTTCAAGGCATGCAGTTTTATCCCAGTTTATCCTGGATCTATTTGCATTGGTTATTCACACAGCTGATGATGCAAATTTTTTAGAGAAACTCAGAAAAATACCTGAGATTGATTATTCTGGGTTAGGTGGTATTTTTGTCAACCCGCCCAAAAAAACCCCCAAACTTTAATTGGATGCATTTGAAATGCATGTTAACAACAAATATTCAACCCAGATTCTATCTGGATTATTTTCACTGTCTGAATAACCCTTTGGAGCAGGGAGGAAACTCTGGACAATAGTGCCACTTAGAAAAGTGTGTGTCTGTGTGTTTGTGTGTGTGTGTGAGAGAGAGTGTCACACAGACCCCCCCTCCAAAAAATTAATTTGATTATAGATGGCTTTTTTGTGGAAAATCTATGGTGAAGTTTTACCAGTAGCACAATTCTGTTTGAAATTAGTCCTACTGGGGTGCCAATGTGGTGCAATGGTTTCAGTGTTCGACTAGGACTATGGGAGACCAAGGTTTGGATGGCCAGGTCCTCCTGGCCATGGAAACCCACTAGGTGACCTTGGGCAAATCACACTCTCTCAGCCTCAGTGGAACACAATCACAAAACCCCTCTGAACAAATCTTGCTAGGACAGCCCTGTAATAGGGTTCCCTTGGCATCACCATGTCAAAAATGACTTGAAGACTGACAACGAGGTCCAGTTGAGTTCTATGGGATGTAGCTCTTAATGTGTTTAGAATATCAGCCTTCAGAGCATTAGTCTTCACTCCCGTGTGCGCCAGTCTTAACATCACAATTTGAGTCCCTTGTTCCTACAGTGGCCTTTTGGTGCTTGACTCAAGGCTACTTAAGCCCTCCTTGCCAGAAACAAATACACTAAATATTCTCTATCCCAATTCTCTAAAGTGCTGAGAAGGAATTCTCTCCATACTTCAGCTGGAGCTGGGAACTCACTTTTAGATTTGCACTTAATTTCCAGAAATATTCTAATTTGTTAATCTTGCAGGAGGTTTTTTTAAAATTATTATTGTTTTGCATTTGAAAGACTGATCAATTGTGGTTGATGCTTAATGGGGCTCTTCCAAGGTTTTGGCCTTGAAATCCTGGGGCTAGGATGCTCCTGACCTGGCAACCTTAAATTGGTAGTGCATCCCTAAGGTTTCTCCCAGGGTCTTTCACATCCAAGGCCAGTCCTACCCTTAGGCAAAGTGAGGCAGGTGCCTCAAGCAGAAGATACTGGGAGGTGGTTGCAAGGTGCCAGGGAGAGAGCTATAGGCTGTGTCATCTGCCTTGCTTCTAAGCAAAGCTGCTACCTTCAGATACCATGAAAGATGTTGCCCCCTTGGGAGCATTGAAGAAAGGATCAGCTGCAAATCCATTCCACATCTGTGCATGGGGAAGGCCTCTTGTCCTTTGCTTCAAGCAGCAAAATGTCATGAATCAACTGGTTCACATCATCTGCTACTATTATTTTTAATGTGAGATTGTTGTTGTTGTGTGCCTTCAAGACATTTCCAACTTATGGCGATCCTATCACTGGGTTTTCTTGGTAAGTTTCTTCAGGGAGGTTTGCCACTGCCATCCTCTGAGGCTGAGTGTGACTTGCTGAAGTTTTTCAATGGCTGAGCCAGGATTCGAATCCTGGTCTCCAGAGTCATAGTCCAATGCTCAAACCACTATGCCACACTGGTGCCAGGATATAAATCTTTGACTGCTTGCTTGGAAAACACGTGCCTTGCCTCTGAGTAGTGGCTCCTCCCAATTACTGACTGGCATGATGTGCCATGAACACTTGCGGGAAATGGAAGCCATATATTTTTACCAGTGGCCCATAGCAGGCCTCCCTCACTAAAAATAAAATAAAAATCATTTCCTCATAAACAATGGAAATGTCTACAATTCTGTTGGCTAGCCCAAGTGCTTGTGAACATTTTATAATGTCTTTGAGTTGTTGGCATAGGAAGCACGCAAGCAGAATAAGAAATGAAAAAATGTTAATCTACATAGCTGGAACACCTCTGTTAAATATATAACTTGCACTCTTTATAGCTGGAGGGACACTTTTTCACGTAGCAAGATTCAGGAAATAAGGATTTTGAAAAAATCAGAGCTGGAAATAATCCTAATAGGCAGAGATGGAAAATACAACCCCAACTTGGAGGAGGTGAGCGGAAACACTATGTTATGTGCCTTCAAGTCAACTCTGTCTTGTAGTGACCTTATCATAGGATTTTCTTGGCAATATTTTCCTAGAGGGAGTTTGCTGTTGTTGTCTTCTGAGGCTGAGAGTGTGTGACTTGCCCAAAGTCACCGAATGGATTTCCATGGTTGAGCAGGGATTTGAATCCTGGTCTCCTAGGTCCGAAACACACTGCAGAGATAATCCAGTTTGAGACCACGTTAACTGCCCTGGCTCAGTGCTAGGGAATCCTGGAACTGTAGTTTATTGTGGCATCAGAGTACTCTGACAGACAAGGCTCAATGTCTCACAAAACAATAGTTCCTAGAGCAGTTAAAGTGGTCTCAAACTGGATTATTTCTGCAGTGCTTTGGACCCTAGATTCCTAGTCCAACACTCAAATCATTACACTGTGCTCACTCTCTGAGGGGAGATACTACTTGTCACTTTTTATCTTCCAAAAGCAAGCTCTCAAACTGTATTCTCATGGATGGTATTCCCCGTTTTCTCAGTATTGGTCCTCCAAGGAGAAAGCACAACCAAAGCTGTATGTGGGATGGTGCACAATGCTGGACAGCCCAAAATCCTTGATCCTCTGAGGCGGAGGGACACTCAGATATGATGCATCATCCTTGCCCGAGGGGTGCCACTTTGTATTGTCATCCTTGCCATTCTTGAAAGTTAGGTTTAACCTGGAGAGGAAAAGACAGAAGGGTGGGGCGAAGGCCACCTCTAATTTTAGTCTGAGGAGAGGCTCCAGAACACCATGACTCATACCTGAAGCCACATTCTCACCTGATGACTACCTTTAGTTTGTCCTATGAACAGCGATGATGGGTTAGGCAACTTTATAGCAAAGGCCTTGGCATCTCAGGCCAGTAGCCCTGGACTTTCAAGATGGGTTATTAGAGCCATTTTCTGTATGAAGTTGTCTCTTCTTAGGGACCTGGATAAAAGAAACCTCTCATTTGCTAGGAATTAACCATTCATGGGACAAGCAAGGCCAAATTCATAGGAGGAAACAGTGTAAAGTGCTGTTGTGTGCCTTCAAGTTGTTTCTGACTTAGGGCGACTCTAAGGCAAACATACCATGAAAGTTTTCTTGGCAGGATTTGTTCAGAGGGGGTTCAATAATAATAATAATAATAATAATAATAATAATAATAATAATAATAATAATAATAATAATAATTTTTTATTTCTAGCCCGCCCCTCTGCTCTGCAATCGGGGCGGGTTACAACATTTTAAGACATACAAAGTTAAAACAAGCCTTATCCCCATAACCCCCCTCCCACTCCTAAAACAAGATTAAACTTTAAGAGATTAAAACATAATACAGTCTAAAACCAAACAAACAATATATTACAATAAAACAATAAACTCAAAAAATGAAGCGAACTATAGACAAGGGACAGTTGAAACCATCTCTCCTCAGGTCGGAAGATTATTCCGGGAAGGCCTGCCGGAAGAGGTCCGTCTTTACTGCTTTTTTAAAGGCAGCAAGAGTAGTGATAAGATGGACCTCATCCGGCAGGCCATTCCAAAGTCTGGGAGCGGTTGCGGAGAAGGCCCTCTGGGAGGTCTGAGACAGCCTAGTTTTTATTGGCTGTAACAGGTTCCTCCCAGAGGACCCGAGGGCACGGGGGGGAGGATCATATGGGGAGAGACGGTCCCTGAGATAAGATGGACCCAAGCCATGTAGGGCTTTAAAGGTCAAAACCAACACCTTGTACTGTGCCCGGAAACTAATCGGCAGCCAGTGTAGGGATTTGAGCAGCAGTGTTATGTGTTCCCTCCTAGATGTTTCTGTGATCAGCCTGGCTGCCATATTCTGTACCAGTTGAAGTTTCCGGGTTGGGCACAAGGGTAGCCCCATGTAGAGTGCATTGCAGTAATCCAGATGTGAGGTTACCAGAGCGTGTACCATAGTTTCCAAGTCCCTCATATCCAGATAACGGCGCAGTTGACGTATCAGCCAAAGCTGATAACAGGCACTCCCGACAGTCGCATTCACCTGACTAGTCATGTGAAGCGACGAGTCAAGGAGTACCCCCAAGCTGCGAACACAGTCCTTAAGAGGCCAGTGTGACTCCATCCAGGACTGGAGACTGTATTCCCAAATATGGTTTGCCATTGCCTTTCCCTGAGGCTGATAGCCTGTGACTTGCCCAAGGTCACCCAGTGAGTTTCATGGCTAAGCTGAGAATTGAACCCTGGTGTCTAGAGTAATAGTGCAACAGTCAAACCACCATGCCATGCTGGCTTCTCGAACTGGCATAGCCAACATGTACTGAATCTAGGGCTTGAGGTTCATAGCTAAGTGTCTTGTGTTTTCAGAAACTGGAACAGGAGATTTCAGTCAGAGATAGTTGCCCTCAGTTCCTCTTTAAAACAGTTCAGGTTTTGACATTTACAGAATGGCTAAAAGTACAAGTTGCTTACCTGTAACTAGTTCTTAGAGTGGTCATCTGTGAATTCACACAATTGGGTTTATTTGAGCCTGCGCAGTCTGCTCGGAAACTTCTTAAATTGCTAGGGAAGACTTCACTTGCAACTTTTTGGTTGTAGCTCTGCCCACCCTCTATATAAGCCCAGCGTGTTCCCCCTCTTTCTCAGCTCCATAAAGTCTGCCACAAAAGCAGCAATAGCAAGGAAATTATAAAATGACTGAGGGGAGGATGGGCGGGATTTGTGTGAATTTGCAGATGACTTAAAGAACTACAGTTACAGGTAAGCAATCTGTCCTTCATGGTCTCTGCGAATCACACAAATGGGTTAGACTGACAAGCTTCAGTCAGTGGAGGAGGGAGTGTCCTGACACCAATCTTGTAAGTTCAAACAAGTTGTATTTTTTTAATAACAATAAAATCCTTAAACTTGAAAAGTGCATTTGTCAGTGTCATTTGTCTTGGTTTCAAAGGCATATCAAACATGCAATGCAATCAACATTCAGTGCAAACCGGAAAGCAATACTGCCCTCTCGAAGGCTGCATCCCACCTGGCCCTGGTGTCCAGCCTGTAATGTTTAATGAAAGTCAGCAGCTGGGACCAGACTGCAGCCTTGCAGACATCCTCCAAAGGCACCCCAGTCAAAAAAAAAACAGAGGATGTCGCTACCACCCTGGTGGAATGGGACAGAATTCGGGCTGGAGGAGTTTTCCCCGACAGCTCATAACAAAGGTGGATGGTATTGGCCACCCATTTAAAAAACCTCTGTACAGTCACAGGCAGTCCTTTTTTTTACTTCTGAGCAGCAGACAAAGAGTCTCTTGGGATTCCTCAAACCCTAAGTTGTGTCCATAGAGAATGCCAGTGCCCTTCGGACATCAAGGGTGTGCAAATGGTGCTCGGCGTCCGTGTCAGGTTCGCGGCTAATGTTGGCAAAACAATGTCCTGATTAAAGTGAAAAGAGGACATGAGTTTGTCTCTGTGGAAATGGAAGTAGTGTTGGTCCACTCTCAGGGAACAGAGTTTGCTTGCCCAGCGAGCTGAGGTAACAGCCAATAAGAAAGCTGTTCTCCAGGTCAGCAATCTCAAGTCCGAGGTGGCCATGGGCTCGAACAGCTTGGTGGACAAGTGCGTGAACACCA